TGAGGGCAAGACGAAATATTACCGATCATCAAAAAGAAGTCGTCGCACTCGACACTTGGCTCTTACTTCACTGTTGACAATCGTAACTTCGATGTCGTAGATATTTTCGTCTATCTTGAAACTAGCATTAACAACGACGTCAGCATCGAAATCCAACACACAATAACTCTTKCCAAAAGGTGCTTCTTCGCATTGAGTGGTAAAATCTTCTCTCGATGAACAAACAAGATTCTGCATCATCATCCCCACCTTGCTATATGTGTGGTGCAGAGGCTTGAATGATGACAACATCTAATTTGCGCATTGGCAACGGCGACGAATACCGCAATCGATGGAGCGATGAGTCGTACGAAATATTTAACGATATTGACATACATAGTTCAGCGAATTAAGAAACAACAGCTAAGGTGGCTACTTCATGTCGTTCAAATGGATGAAAACACTTCAGACCTGAGAGTAATCGACGCAGTACTTGCGGGAGGAAACAGAGGTAGAGGAAGACCTCCCTCGTTGAAAAGACTAGGTGGAGTAGGACCTGGCTACACTTGGAAACCCCAATTAGCGTCACCTTGCGAAAAAAAGCAAATGGCTCGCTGTTGTTAAGCACTAAAAACTATCTCGAAGGTGGACGAGGGAAGATACAATTTGAAAATAGCAAATATAACCTAAATGACTGTGGGAAGTATTTTGAACATAAAGGTTCGGTACACTTTTTGAGTAAAATTAGTTTTTTGAAAAGTTTTTGTTTATATAAAATTACCTTAAGAATGATCAAAAATTACTAATTTTGTTCTTAAGACAAAATAGGCTTAGTAGGCGCGCAGAAATATTTGTCTAGGGCGGTAAATTGCCTCGGGCCGACCCTGCGTCTTTAGCAATCTTAAAAAGAAAAATACCAGAAACTTGTTAACAATTCAATAATAACAAGTAGAAAATGCTTATCTTATGACTAAAAAGATTGGCAATAAAAAACACAAATTGCTGATAACTTAAACACTTTCATGTAATCGGCACTGCGTGTGGAGGAATTTATTGCTGATTTGAAATAACCGTTAGGGGGTAACATTATTGAGCTTACTACTGAAATCTGTTTTTAATGATTGTTCTGCAGACCTTTGAGTGAAAAATCTGCAGTTTAGGTTGAATAAATTAATCATTTAATTTTGATACTAGTGAAAAAGAATATACATATACATATATATATATGAATGAAAATTAAGAGACAATATAGAACAGGATTATGCCAGTTTACTCATACATACTATATATCCATCCAGTGTCATATGTTTATTAGACTATATAACTTTTGTTGTTTTGTTGTTGCTGTTCTGAAACCAGTACTTAAGTATAGAGAGCGAGCCAAACATGGTATTCGGAACCACCTTCACTAGCAAGTTCGTGCAATGCCAATTCAATCGGCACTACGACCGTTAAGTACATACATTACTGTTACCAATTAATTTATACAACAAATATTTGACGGGAGTTCGAGGGTAATTGTACTTTTTTTGTTCATGTATACTATCATTTTAGTTTTCGACTTTAGAAATAGTACTGCAAAAGTGGTAAGAACTCGGTGGGTAATGGAGAAATTTGTTCAAATAAATCTGTGCTTTTATTTGTGCTCGAATATTAAAAAACAAAAACCGCTCACTTAGATAAGCTTGTTACAATTTTATAGTACCTTTTTACTTATCTCAGGAGAGTACAAAAGGCAAAACAAACAATATTAGAAACATATCTAATAACAAGTCATACATTAACCAATTTGTTCAAAACAATTACTGAATCTTTTTCCATTGGCAGTTGGGGCGATTGCCATATATAAAAAGCAACTCAGACGCTTAACGCCACAGTGAATTATCTGGCAAATGGCGCAGAATACGCATTCTATTAGGTTTTTCTTGGCCATCAGCTTGATTGGAATACTTGTTTGTAAGTGTATAGTTAAAGAGTATATACATATATTTATTGCAAAATTGATCTTGTATATAAACTGCATATTATTACCTCCTTAGCGCATTCCAATCAAGAGACTCTGCCATGCGCGCTAAAAGAGTACAGTACAGGACTCGTATGTGTGTGCAATTCCAAGTATTGTGACTATTTGGATGATCCGACGCCAAGTGAAGAATATGTTTTTGCTATTGTCTCTTCGTCCAAGGTAATTAGAAGACTACTGGATTTAATACTTTGGAATGCTTAATATCCTCATCTTTTTTTTTATTCCTAGTCGGGGCTGCGTTTCGCGACGACACATGGCCAGTTTAATCTCTACAAAAAATATTATATTTTCGATTACGATCAACTCATGGCCAGAGCTATAGAAGCTCGTAAGTTTCTTTTATTTTTGATTATTTTCGTCTTTTATATAAATTATTAAACATTTAGCGGCTGCTGAGAGTATTGAGATAGAAGTTGACCGGGAGCAACGCTGGCAGAAGACTGAAGGTTTTATTGGTTCTATTTCCGACTCAATCGAAAATGTTTTAAAAATATTCCCAAAAACGTTGCGAAAGCACGTCTAYCAGTGAGAAAAAATCGACATTTAAGTGTTGGACAGTTTATGGAATACTTTTCAATTTATAGATCCTTCTTTACACAACATGGCATTAACGTCGATTTTATTCGCGATTTGGGATTTGGTGTAAGCGAAAAGTATTTAGAGGATTCCGCTCCCATTTTTGGATCGTGGGAACGTGGTGAGCAGTTCGCACAAAACTTACTAAAATACCTCAACACCGATTCCAATGAAACGGAACCGATAAACTGTAACATTTTGTTGGACTATGAGGGTGGCGATGCGCCAATGATTGCCAACACCACAAGTAATATTTATTTACATTTTACAAATACACATTTTAACATATTCCATAATACATTTGGTATATGCCTGCATCAGATCACTTCGAGGTTTACAAACAACCGCTGTTCTATACGATGGGGCATTTCACGAAATTCATAGCTGGAGGTTCGGTACGCATTGCTGCTGAAAATAAAAATGATAAGGTGGATGTGGTGGCCTTTTTGAGAGCGGATAATAGCGTGGCCGTCATCATCTTAAACCGGTATTCATATATCAGCAATAATTTTGAACTACAATTACTTTACTTTTTGCATTTCTTCACCAGTAATCCCGTTAGTGTTGATGTTGGCATACAAGATACCTATCGCGGAGCTGTTTTATTCAAAATCCCTCCACACTCGATTCACACTGTCCTATATATTTAAATATGTGTATGATATACAATAAACATATATATGTATGCTTTGCTTAATCTGAACTTAATTTTTATACTATCAAACTGTAAATATTAAATTTCAATATACCAAAAATTTCAAACTTTTTTACTCTAATTAAAGTCTAACTTATAGCTAACGTTCCTTAAACGTTATTCTAATTGGTTTATGTTTTGAGTATAATTTAATATGCAAAAATATTCATTCTCCAGTTAATTAATTTTTTTTCGATGTTGTTGTTGTGCGGTTTGAATATGCTTTCATTGCAGGCGTAACACTTGCTCTCCGTCATAAAGCCTCGTACTCCTGTTATGTACATTCGACRACAATAAAGTGAGACATTTTCGACTTGCTCAATACTTTGATCTATTTTTAGGCGTACATTCCCCCATGACGTCAGTTCCATCGCAGATCGATATGTTTATTGTGTATGCACTAACCAAGCCTCGAGTTTAAGTTAATTTAAAATTTAATTTGATTTTACGAACACAGACGCATGGCTTTACACTCGCACATCSTGCTCACAGKGAATGAAAATGGCTACAAAACCTGRACAGTCAATAAATCCTATTTGGGACGTTCTTATTTATGCTTTTATAAAATATTCAAAAGGTAACAATAACAGGTGGATTGAAAAGTTCATAGTCTRGCATAGATAGCACATTCGCGAACGATACAATGACTGGTAAAAAAATAATTTCAATACCATTTTTATCATACATTTGCCACAAGCCTCATCCTGTCAATCCTCAGTTTCTGCGATTACCTCCTCACTGTTGCTAAATTTCTTTCCAGATAGCAAACTCTTGAGGTCTGAGAATAGGAAGTAGTCTCTAAGGGCTAGATCTGAAGAATTTTGGTGTTTGCGGAAGCAATTCGGAGCCCAATTCATGAAATTTTGACAACGTTATCATTCACTTGTGATACGGTGMATCGGCTTTATGAAACAGAATTTTCATTTTCTTCAAATGGGACCGCTTTTTCATGATTTACTTATATTGAAATAAAATGTGAGTATTGGTTATAAAATGATTATATAGTATACTGGTTATATCTCACAGCTGTGATGATATGTACCTATGCAAATACATATGTACATATGTACGTACTTAGTGCTAGAGTAAAATTTAATTATACACAATATATATAAAATATCTGCATATACATACTTAGCATTATATTATTTAAGTTGAGTTTTACTACAAAATACTCCACATTCCACAGCATTTAAAAAACACGCTCTGCCACAGTGCATAGCTTCTTTCTTTCCAACATTATTTGCTTCCACAGCGATGACAAAGCGCTTTAAAAWTAAATGAACTGAAAAATTGCTTTCGGAAAAATAAGACCACAAATCCATAGCCAGCTGTGATCCATGGCGAGCAGAAGGAAATTCACACATACCTGCTCACAGTACATGCATGTATGTTACATATGTGTGTGYATTTGGGCCAAAGGCGTCTAGCGACATGCAACTTATCTGCCCTGTTAGCCGACACAGATATGAAAAGTGCTGCACGGTATTTATAGGCAGCTAATTTTTTTACTCAAGCCTCAATCATGGCAAAGAAATACTAAAACTCTGCTCTTCAGGATACACAATAAGGCAGTGTTGCTGTTAAAAATGAACTCGCTTCAGGATAAGGGCCTAGTGCGAGGTTGTGGTATACCGTAGTGCTAAGATTATTGTTGTCTATTTAATGTGAAATTCGATACAAGAGCAAATATGTATGTCTGAACAGAAGGTGGATTCCAAAGCAAGAGGGCGCGATTTTATTAAAATAGAAATCGTAAGACCAGTCAATTTTTTTTTTTTTACTAAACGAATCTGGCTTAAAACAGTTCCTTTATAGAAATTGTGGTAGTTTAGAACTTTTGAAGCGAATTTTCCAGTTGGCGTGAAGATCAATATGGAGAGTAGTTGAGGCAATCAGCCAGCAAGTGTCAAATTAGTATTACATTTATTCCAATTTCCGATTTCCGAGCTTTAGTCAAGAAGCTTGCCCTATGGAATAACAAGCTTCATATATAACTTTCACCAATTGGCACCAAGGAATAAACATTTTCAGAATTTCTAAYATCTTCACTCTTTCTGGCATGCTCCACGTGTATGTAAATATGTACGGTTTACGGTGTATGCGGTCACTTTACCGGCTGAATATATTGCTGAAAGTCTCCTTCTACGCCACGGGTTTTTTGTTGCCACCCCAACGCAACATGTCAATGGGTAAAGCCATAAAAGCACACCCGACTGAGCACTATAATGAAAGGCAGCATGCAACAGGCTGTCAGCTTGTGCCTTGCCGCCTGCTTGTGACTATAAAATGGCTCGGCAAAGTTTCGAAGCTTTTCAATTGTTCGTCCACAGCCGGAGTGGTGACACCTGTTGAGCGCCGTGCATAGAAGGATAAACGCGCGCGCCCCGACCACAGCTATACCGCCGGTTTGCAACAATAAACGGGAGTGAATTGATTTTGTTGCGAGTGATTGTGATTTTGTTCGTGAAACAATTACCCGTGATTGAATTTTCCAACCAACATATGGCAGCAATCAAAAAATCTATAAAAACCAATTAACATGCGCGCCACCAATTAATGTGTTTGTGAATACAAAAGTATATACATACATATGTTTGTGTTTTGAAGTTGGCATATTATTAAATTTCTGAAAATTTAGCTGTTTCCAACTAAGTGCGTTGCAAAACTAAAATGGTTGAAGAACGATCTGCCGAAACGGGCGACGATCACACAAATGGTGCTCGCACAGCATCGGCGCTGAACACGTCAGGAGCTGAGAGACGCACATCGGCTCCGAAATTCGGAAATACAAATCGGTGTATAATTGCCGTCATCGTCTATTTGGCGTTATTACTGGATAATGTGCTGTTAACTGTGATTGGTAGGCAATTACTTTCGTTGTGCTCATGCATTTCTATTTTAGTAGGAAAAACTTATATTTTATATACTATATTATATCTGTAATCAAAACAGTTTGTATTCAATTTTATAAAGGGTGAGCCATTTCGATGTTTTCTGTTTTTTAAAAGAAAATTTAAATTTAATCGGAAATGTTTCATCATTCGAAAGAACATTCTTTGGCATTTATTTTTTGAAGATCTAATGCTGGCCGCGGCTACGACTCAGATGGTCCATCCGTTGAGTTAAATTTTCAATGATTCGTGAGATCATTTCGACTGATAATTGGCGAAGGACATGCGATATTTTTTGCTCCAAACCGGCTTCAAGTCTTTCACAAGCTGTATTTTAAGATCTCGACGTAAAATGAACAGTTCCATACGTCAGCCCGAGTTGCTGCGACCGGTCTTCGTGCACACTCTCAGCTACGACTGGTATACTTTCTTCACAGTGTGCTGGACGTGGTCTATTCSGKCRAATAATAGCCAATAATAAATGCTGGGTCTCAAAATARATGATGSTGTTTCAAATAGCGCACTCAGTRGGCCGATTATGTTGACCATTAGTTGAGCGAAGCGCGCTAWACACGTTCTTTCCAGAACGTGAATTTTCGTAACAAAGTTGAACGAYGTGTCTAAGTCTTTCCTTGAAGAAATGCCAAACAATACTGAACAAAAATAGCATGACTGCGTGATACGATTCACGGGTTATCTGTCAAAAAAAGGCTATTGAAAAAAGTATCTCTACTTGAATCACCCGTTAGTCGCTTAGGTATAGGAAATATATTTGAACTAATAAGAATCCATAGTCCGTGTAAAATGGAAACGATTGGAATCTCAYTATTTTTTTCATTTCGGTTTTTGAAACAACAATTCATTTCTAAAATATATGCATTGTATCTATTTGAAATCGGTCTTTACACTTATGAACACTTATCCATACAATCCACACGCAGTGCCAATTTTGCCCGATTATCTGGCGACTATAAATAACCAGGCACATCACACTCCGTTGGGGATGTTCAACGGCTACAACTACACGAACGATGCTGCCAGCATTGGCATCGCCAGTCCTTTCATGGCACCACCCAGTTTGGCTCATCGGTACATCGATGGCGCACATCAACCCATACAAACAGTTATGACAAAGCATCCGATACCCGGAAAATCGATGGTGAACTTTACGCTGCCACATGGCGATGATAAAGCGACGTTTGTTTCTGCGGAACACAAGCTATTGCGCTACACAAACGCGGCTGCGGGGRTCGGAACAACAGCTGGGACATTGACAAAAAGCTCAACCATCGGAAATGCCTCAGGCGCCGGTGATAAATCCATAGAAAAACAATTCGATGAAACAAATTTTAATGAGAATTCGGCTGGTAGTGGCGCTAATCCCGCCCTGGGTATCACTACAGCAACCACGGTCACCGACAGCAACCCTGACGGCAAGGACACGAAGGCAAACTCTGATTCAAATGAAAGCTTGACTAGCGAAAATAGCGCCATTGGCATATTGTTGTCCATGAAGGCGCTGGTACAGTTAATATTCAATCCGATCGTCGGCAATCTAACTGCCAAATTTGGTTACCGTTTACCGATTGTGGCCGGCACTTTTTTGCTGCTTCTCTCTTCATTGGGTATGTGTGAATTTTGCTATTATAAATTCGGCTGTAAAAATTCGGATTTTGTATTAACTCTTCGCGCATAGTGTTCTCGGTGGGTGAGACTTACATAGAACTGTTGATAGCTCGCGCAATTCAGGGAGTTGGTTCGGCTTGCATTGGTGTGTGCGGCATGAGTCTCGTGGCTCAGGTAAATAACAATACACATGTACTATGCCACATGCTAGAATTTATATTAGGTTGTCAAAAAGTCTTGCGGTATTTTTGCGGTATTTTTATTGAACTTTCAATTGTTCATAAAATTTTTTTTGATGACTCATGCCCAGCTCTTGACCTATGCTACGGCTGCTACTATGTCGATCTCCTTCGACCAATTCAGAGATTTTATCGCAATTTTCGACGACAGGCCTTCCGGAGCGTGGCGCATCTTCGACCACCTCTACACCAGAMCGAAAACRTTGAAACCATGGTTGTGCGGTGGAAATGAAAACTGTATGGGGTCCATAAAATGCGCAAATTTTATTGGCGGCTTGAGATGCATTTTTGCATTTATCGTAGTAGTACTGTAAAATATGCCGTATTTTCCTTTATTTTGCTCCATGTTTGCGACGCTATAACTAACGAACGACTTAAAAGAAACGACAATCAACGTTAGCGCGTGAAATGGCTTTCCAAAAAGGTATAGCATGACCCGATGCGACGAATAAAGCTAGAACTAAGCGCTTTCAGCGCCAACTAGCGAAAATACCGCAAGACTTTTTTTGACAACCTAATATATGCATCCACATGTTTCGATATTTCATGCTGTAGCACTATCCGGAGGAAGACCGTCGTTCAAAAGTGATGGGCATAATTTTGGGTAGCATTGCTTTGGGTGTGTTGCTGGGATATCCTTTCGGTAGCATACTTTATGATTTCATCGGAAAGTCAGCACCTTTTATAATACTGTCTACAGTGATATTTCTGAATTTGGGTAAGTACAAAATATATAATTTCAAATATAGTAGTTTTAGAAATAAACCGTCGGTCATGCCGAAAGCTAAATGCGTAAAAACCATTTTTTTTTTTAACGATCAGAAGTTTCGGGCATTATTTTCAAGGAACGGTTTGTTGACGATTATAATTAAGAGATTTTAAAAATAAATTATAAACAATGTTAATGCTCAGATGAACTTTAAGTATAAGGGTAAGGCCGATCAAATGGTAATTTAGTATCAAATTAATCCTGCCTACGGAACAGGCTCTGATTTTACAGGCTTATTTGTTGAAATTAAGTTGGATTCAAAAATGTCAAACGATAAAGCAAGTTATCTAGGTGTAATGTTTATTTTTTTTGTTAATACTTATCATATAAGGAATGCAGCTCCTAACTATGGATCTCTCCATACAACCCGAGGTAATACAGTTTTTTTTTAAATAAACTCAATCAGTTCAATCAATACTTAGCAGTTCATCTTTTAAAATGTGCTCATGTTCTCCACACCTCAGGTTACAATTGACAATGATGAACAGCGGCCAAAATGGCGTCCTTTGCTCGAAAGCAAAATGATACTGGCAATTGTTGTGGCAATTTGGTTTTCCACCTCAACAATGGCTATATTGGAACCGTGCTTGCCCATTTGGTTAATACAACATCTTCACCCCACCAAATGGCAATTAGGTACGGTGTTCATACCGGATTCCGTAGGATATTTTATTGGCACCAATTTCTTCGGCACATTCGCCTATAAATATGGACAAGTAAAAATTTCATGCATTGCCCTGTTGTTGGTTGGTATTTCATCAATTTTGGTAAGTAATTTCCTATGAATCGGCGTAAGACAATACTAAAATATATGAAGTTGTGTATTCGCAGATCCCCAGCGCCACAACAGTCAGCCAACTACTGTTGCCACACTTTGGGTTAGGACTTAGTATTGGTGTGATTGACGCTGCCTTGGTGCCGCTGTTGGCCACTTTTGTCGATGCCACTTTAGCGCAGGAGGAGCAAGGCGACACTGGTGGCGGTAATTCCATGTCGAGCTATGGTACAGTCTACGCCATCCAACAGACTTCTGTCAGCTTAGCTTACTGCTTGGGTAAGTATATACTTTTCGGATTTCGGAATATTTTCTTTATACTAGTACTTTATTCCATTAGCTCCTTTACTAGGCGGTGAGTTGGCACAAACTATTGGTTTCTCCTGGCTAATGCGTATCGTCGGTTTCTTCAATATATGTTACGGCCCAGTTTTGGTGTTTTTACATCAAAATTATAATCCGAAAGTAAGTTAAAACTGATAAATGTTTTTATAAATAGCTGAGCAATAACAACAGGTGGTCCGAATACAAGCTTTTTGGGTATTTAAAAAGAAAGTAAAGGAAACTATATCAGTCCATACAACTACTTGAATTGTCAACCAAGTCTCACGATTTTATGGGCGTAACGTTAGTTAATTTTTACCAATATAATTTATGGCTATGTGATCAATTCTTGAGTTGAAATTCAAAGATCTCTACTTATATTTTCGCAGTCTAACTTTTATAAGTGCAAGAAGCTTGCGTTCGCATCACCTTATGTATTACTTAACTACACTTATATATGTACATATATAAAGAGTGTACATTTCTTAACTTGCTTTCACCAGACTATACGTGAAAAGCATAACGAGCTATTGCTTCGGAACAGCGGACGAGACTCTCAATACAAACAGCTATACAATTCGATCGACATGGAGTAAAAATGCAGCGAAGGATTACTTGCATTAGAAATCATTTAATGTTTTACTATATCATTTGTTTAGAAAATATTGTAAATATACAAATAACATTAGGTGTAAATCATGTAAATGTCGATTAAGAGTTAAAATACAAGTTGGATCCGATCTGGCCGCATTCCTAGTGTATGTATATCCACCTGCGAAATTATTTCGTTTATGTCGAGTTTTCCAACGTCGGCGGTTAAAAAAGTGTCATAAAATGTAGAAAAAAAGATTCAAATAACTTTTCGACAATTTTGAAAAACATACATAAAAAATCTTATCTTTTCTAAATTCCAAATTCCAAATTTTTCAACTGATTTCCTTTTTAACATTGCAAAAACAGTAACATGAGTAAAAGGCCTTTAGGTGAGTATTTCAAATGCATGTTCATTAAATGTATGCTGGTTAACGGGTTTTCTTGTCCATAGGTCCCGGACCCGGTGCTTACATGCTGCCGCCGAATGTTGGCTATGAAAATCATGATGCTCGTAAGCAACGTATGCCACAGTACTCGTTTGGCACACGCTCATACAAACACGAAAAACTGATTGGCCCAGGACCGGGAGCCTATAAGGTTGATACCTTAACGCGTTATGGCATAAGTCGTGGAAATCAATTTACGATACAGGGCAGAACATATGTGAAAGGTGTGTTTTCTATCTGTTTTTTAGCAAGTGTCTTCAATTATTTATGCGTGTTAATATTGTGTTTGCAGAAAAACGATTTGGTCCAGGACCTGGTGCACATGACGTACATCTAAAGCCGTTCTTTAAGGGCACTGATGCGCCAGCATATTCTATGTCTTGGCGCAATGCCTATAACTTCAAGAGCTCTACACCTGGTCCCAATGCATATGGTGTGGATGTGTCACCAATTAAACCGGGATTTCCAGCATACAGCATGTAAGATACACATATTTGTAAATCTCTAAACAGACCTTGTAATTACATACATTGTCTTATAACAAACACAGGGGCATGCGGTGTGGTATATCGGGTAAACAACATTCACCTGGACCAGCTGCTTATGGTGCTGGAAATCTTTCGGTTAAACTACCACGTAGTCCTGAGTATTCAATTGCCGGACGAAATCCTTACTATTACAAACAAATTGGCCCTGGTCCAAACTATTACGATCTAATGTACTACCGTCCCGGCAAATCTGGACAGGCTTACTCGTTCGGTATACGGCACAATGAGTTTGCGCCACCAATGATTGTTAAGTGTGATAATATGTGATTGCAATATTAGGAAGAAATCATATTTCTTATATTTTGGTACTTACTTTGAAGATAAAAGTTTCGAAAGTTCTACTAAATTATACAATTGATTATATAGAAATAATAAACTAAACCGAAATAAGTTCTTGAACTTTTCACTGTTGTCACTTCCGTTATTAATTAGACAAGTCTTTGAATGATTTTTATAGGCTTAAAACAACGATTTAAAATACTATAACTGCGAAGCCAAAGAAAGGATTGAAATTGGAGAATATCTAGTACTCGGAACCATATACATACATTTATCGTTTAACAACCGGAAATACTGGTATTAACCTATGCAAGCCTTGGGATGTTAAGATTATTTCGTCACAATATTAAAATTAACAGTGTATAAATAAAACCGTATTTATTGTGGTTAAAGGCTGCATTAAAGAGTGAAAAATAGCGAATCGTTAGTTAAATTGTTGTCGTCAAAATAATTTAAATTTAATTGCCCGAAACACTTTGCTCCGCTATACAACACTGAATTCATTGTGAACAGCTGACTGTCAATATGCCACCCAAATGAACAAAAACAAAACGAAATGTATACCACTAGCAACATACATATGTCACACTATAAACTCTTGCCAAGGCAATTTACATATACAAAACACACATTTAATGATAAGGATAATTTGGTAAAACTTTTATCTTAAAAAAAAGATAAACCTTTACCTTTATTTCGTTATTTCCCTCTAATTAACATAATTATTGCTGTTCATAGAAATAGTTATAAATCATGGTGAAGAAGTTATATAATTTGTGTCACCCTTTGCTGCTAATTGTATTCGCTTTCAATTTTCATTCGTTTGTGAAGGCAGAAAAATTAATTCCGTTAATTTTGGCATAAAAAATCGACCAAAACAACAAAAAAATTAGCAAATAGGGAAAAAATAGTATAATTATAAAATCTTTTTAGCGAAAAAACGGTAAACACATTATTAAGAAGCACCCATGTGCATATTTGCCAGAAAACGAAAATTAACACAAAAGAGAGTAAAGTGGGTGTAGAGTGAGTTGTAATTAAGGATCAAGGCACGTAAAAACGAAGTTGTTATATGATGGCAACGAATGCAGATAGTGACCACAATGAGCAGTTGAAAATCCATGATCAAAAGCTACAATCTAATTATTCGGAAAAATTTCTTAATGATAAAGGGGCAGCAACTACTAATAAATCAGTAGAAGTAAACTCCAACAATAGTTTGGTAAATTCCATTTGTTGCCCAAATGTTAAAGAGGACGTATCTGTTGAATCCAAATTTTTGCCTGTAAAACTTGGAACACCTATTACACAAGAGCAAATGCAAAACGAAAAACCAACTGACAGCGATGCTGAAGGAGAAAAGACTCCGTTGGAGCTAGGTGTTGGCGCCGATTCGACTGCGGACAATCAATACTTCTTTGAAGATGAAGTTTTCCGCGTTGATAAGAAGGGACGTGTCAAATTTGGCCTTGTAATTGAGACGTCTGAAACATATTCTGGCGATGAAGATGACGATTTCGATGATGTGCTTCTGAAAGGTGAAGTACGAGTAGCATGGTATCCTGATGGTAAAGAGGAAGTGCAGCCTGAAGGGGCGGTAAGTGGAATAAATTTATCGAATACGGCCAATTAAAATGAAATACATATTCATTTTTGAAATAAAAATTATGGAAGGAAGTTAAAAATTCAAAATTAGGGATATACTCACGCATAGTACTTACATTACAAAAGAATGATGAGGTTATGGGCACATAAGTAAATTTTGACATGTATTACAGTTATATGTATTGCTATTATAAATATTTTATAATTATGAATTGATTATTCATTAAAAAACTTTCAATTGTGTTTTTTTTTTCTGCAAAAAGATCGCATTAGCTGATCGTACTTTAATGCCGGGTGACGTCGTGCGGCGTCTGGTACCGGGAAAGGACACTCAACGCGGTTACTGTCGTGACATTAGTATGCATGCCGATGTTAAAGTGCTGGGTACCAAGTATGTTATTAAAAACGTTATGACAGAAAGACTGCTTCCAATAAATAATTGGCAACGCGATAGCGCCGTTTGCTTAGATTCGTGGGTGGGAAGCACCAAGGATGTGGAAGAAAAAGCTGTACTAAGGTTGCTCGCAAAACAAATCTTTTAACTAGAAATACTTAAACTTTTTTATTTTGCAGATCCACTGCTGGCGCACGCATAGAAATCTCATCACATAATTTCTATGGTTTCACAGACTATAATTCCCGCAATACACACGGCATATTTAATCCTCATGTATTTTATCCCGGCAACACTGTAGTCGGTCGTTTACCATCTTTGGATGAAGTGAAACTGCTAACTCCTAATATTCCGATACATAAAAACAAAAAGGGCAAACCTTTCAAAGCAAAAGTGAGTGCATCTAAAGAAATAAAATTGTGATTTAGAAAAAAAGTTTTGAAAATATTTTTAATACTCAATTTGCATAGTATACTATTGAATCAGTTGAGACCGATTCGGTTTGGGTCCACTGGCAATGTAAGGCGCTCTCTGAAGAAAACGCTATTGACACTAGCGTGTTAGAGCAACCAAATCCTTGTGTGAGCGGTGAAGACTTGATGCGCCTAAAGCGCCTGAATCTCTTCGAATCATGTATGGTGCAAATAAGCGATCGCAACTACTTAAAATTCTCGAACCTCGATAACTATATAAAAAAATCACAATGGGAGAAAGAGCAAGGTTTGTCTTATTGCCTTACAAAGACCTTATTTTATTTCTCTTAATTTCAGCTAGTAAATTTAAAGTAGCGCTAGCACAAATTCAAAAAACCGAAAATCAGTATGGTGGGTTGGTCAGTTCCTCCGGTCAAAATAATGCCGGCAGCAATAGTTCACATCATACTGAGAAAACCAAAAAGAAGTCAAGTTTAATAGATGCTGATGCAAAAAATGCGAAGCCAAAAAAATCTACATTAAAAACAGATAAGTTAGGCAGTTCAAATAGCAGAGACAAAACAGCAACCGATACGTCTATTGAACATAATGCATCCAATTTTCCATCGAGGAAAGCCTCAAAGACCAATGGAGAACCAGAATGGGTGACAGACGATGAGGACGAGGATGACGATGAAGATGATTACTTCAATGAAGATTTCTGCGAGGATCGTGTCAGTACTACAACTTGCTCAAGTCCTTCTCCTCATCACAGCCCAAAACATAGCAAAAGACATCTACTGAAAAAGAAAAGTAAAGTACCTGCCAAACGTTCCTCTTTGATGATTCCAGAATTTCAACCGAAAGATGGGGATGAATTAGTTACCGAAGCTCTTTTAGTATACAGTACTGCCACAGTGGTTTGGCAAGATGGTACCGTAGAGGCCGGTATATCTTCTACACAATTGTACCCCATACATCATTTAGATAATCATGTATGCTGGCACAATGTAGTACTTTAGATAAATTCTAATAATTTATTGTTAGGAGTTTTTCCCTGGGGATTTCGTTGTATGCGGCAAGGAAGATGGTGATATGACTTATCGTGACTACGGCGTTATACAAATGGTGGATCATCAGGGGCGGACAGCACGCGTCAAATGGTATACCACATATACCTCTGCTGATGAACCGAGGTAAGGATTTATTTGCGTACCTGGATTAACTTAATACCAATATGAGAATATTTACAGACCGAAATACAATGGCGAGACAGAAGTTAGCGTATATGATTTAAAAGATCACCCTGATTTTCAATATCGTCCTGGAACTATGGTTATACGCGTTGCAAACTTTGTAGGTGAGGATGCCTCATGTACCGCAGGTCAAATCATAGATAACTTCGTTGACGGACGAGCGAAAGTGTGGTGGGTTGACGGACATATAAGTATGTGCTGGCCGCAAGATTTATTTGAAGTTGGTCAATACGACCACGCTGACTGGGGCCACGAATCGGATGACTCATGGGAGACTGAGTCTGAAAATAGTGAACTAGGAGGAAGTACGCCAATGATAGCGCTGGAGGAATCCCACATAATAACAAACATTGAGCGAACACGCATAGCTATTGCACGCCTTGAGGAAATTTTCAATATGAGTCYGAATTTGCAAAATGTCGAAGTAAGTGCAATAGTTACTTTTTTGTGGTGATCGGTGACAGTTTCATGTTGTGCGCATATTTAGGTTATGCGTAATTTGTTAAATGTTTACAAAGGGTGTCGCTACTTGGACCGCTTATTGAATACAAGCTTCTTCCACGAAGACAATTTCCAGGTAATAGTTTCCTATTAACAAATAATAAAACTAATTAAATAAAACAATTTTCACTGTAAGGGTCTGATTGAGCGTGTACGCAAAGGCGGTACGCAATCAATTGCGGAGCGCGCACAAGACCGAAAAAATCGTCTATTTAGTTATGTGCAAGCTACCTCAACAAATGTAAAACATCACGCTGTTGCGCCACTGGATAGTATAGAAAAGACGCCGCCAAGACAACCATCCGATGCAAAATCCGCCGCCGGTGCAAACGAAAGTGCCACCACCACTARTACATCTAAGGAATATGCGCCAAAGATACTCTTTAACATCTCCCCAACACCGTTTAAATCCCCGTCGTCAGTGACAGATGGTGGAGCATCAAATAGTATTACTTCACCGGTGGTACTACCTGTGCTGAGGTTAAAATCTAACACATCCATTTCTACTGTGACACAGGCACCATCCACACAAACTTTGTCCGAAAAAGTTGTGGCAAGGAAAGCCACTTCTAATGCCACTGAAGCACAACCAAGTGTTCATAACAGCGGTAATGCAGATAATAAGACCAATACCGGTGGCGCCAATATAACAGCGCATCATAAGAATATACTGGCACAGAATAACCAATTGCTTAACTCCGCCATGCTCAACATTGAAAGAGCTTTTGAGAAAACTTGTCAATTAAAATCAGCAATGGCGTCATCTCGGGTAAGCTGTACATACGAATTTAATATTTATAAATATATAATACCTACATATACATGTGCTTACAGGATGACTCTGGCAACTGTTCGCGCAATGAGAACTGTGATGGCAGTTCTACCAGCTACTCGGACCTCACCAACGGTTCGATGAGAGTTAATGATGATCAAAACTCGATGTCCTGCAGCAGCATTGAATTTAATGAAGATGCTGCGCCCGAAATGGATTGTGTGCGTCTTTGTGCTCTACTAAAGGAACAATTGGTTAAATGCATACAACAGATTCGGGAAAAATACTATAAAGGGGAGAATATTAACTTAAGCGAAGTATTCACTTTTGATGGAATTGAAGAGGCACATATTGAGGACCCGGTAGATGTAAATGAAGAAAAGTCAACGGAAGGCCTGGATACTGAAACGTCCTCAATAGATGATAGGCAACAGATAAACCTCGCCAAATCCGACATAGTTGATATGAGCTCACCTGCGGATGCCAATGTATGTGTATCGACAAAATCCATGGATTCTGTTCTATGTTCACCGATTGAGGCAACTTCCACACCGATCGCGAACTCTGAATATTTTCAAGTTTTACCTCAAGCACCGCCCGCTCACAAGTTCCAATTGACTATTTTTCATCCCAATAATGCTCAACAATATTATAGAGCTGTACAACGTGAGCATCGCATGCTGAAAACTTCACTGCCACCCGGTGTATGGGTTAAGTAAGCCTAGAATTCTTCAAATAACTATATATAATTGTGTGTAATATTTGTCTTAACTGCGCAGAGTTTTTGAAGATCGCATGGATTTACTAAGTGTCATGATTGAGGGCCCGAAGAAAACACCGTATGAAGATGGCTTATTTTTCTTCGATATACAACTTGGTCGCGAATATCCGAAGAGTCCGCCATTGTGCCACTATATCAGCTATTGTTCCGATCGCTTAAATCCGAACCTTTACGAAGACGGCAAAGTTTGTATCTCCCTGTTAGGTACGTGGGCTGGGCGCGACTCTGAGATTTGGGGCGCAAACAGCACTCTCCTGCAAGTGATCGTGTCCATACAGGGTCTCATATTGGTGCCCGAACCGTACTTCAACGAGGCTGGTTACGAAAAACAGAAAGGTACATGTATTTACTTATGTAAGGCACACTTGTAAATCATTTAATTTTCTATTGCATAGGCACTCAGCAAGGTAGCGAAAACTCTCGTATGTACAATGAAATGGTTATTATAAAAATGGTGCAGTCATCCACGAAACTTCTGCAACAACCACCAGAACTCTTTCGACCAGAAATATGCGAACATTGGCATCAACGCGGCCTTTCAATGTACGAACGCATTAAAGGTTGGATGGAATTATCCAAGGCCACGATAAATAACAAAAACGAAGAGGCTACAGCGAAAACTGCAACGGAGGAGATGCGTCAACCGAAGCAAACAAATACGAATACCGGTAGACAATGCGTTTATTTAATTTCAGATTTGTAGATAAATTATTTAAACTTCGCATTTCAGTTAACGCTGAAGCACCCACAACTACGTTCGTGCCACCCGATTTTCCACTTGTACCTGCAAGCCGTGGCTTTTGTTTAACATTAGCTGGCCTCTTAGAAACCTTCAATTCGAAATTATTAGCGTTAAAAACGGAACGTAAACTGTCGGTGGAGAAAAGCGACCCAACAACGACTGAGCGCCATGTTGAATAGAACGCGATAACTGCGACGTTCATGAGGACCGTGTGCCTATTGCGGGCTTAACGGCTTTAGATTTTCAATACTACAATTGAAAATTGTAAAAACGAATAATTTATTTTGTATTATTATTATTATTATTTTTTTTTTTAATAAGTTTGCCTATTTTATGGTGCTTGCTGTCCGTTTACTAAACTTTAGTGTAAAAATCACAGTTGCATTGCTGTTTAAATGCGCTTAAACGTTGTCATATTTATATACAAACATATAGTATATCTCTAGTTTTTGTATCAATGCAAAGTATTAAATGATAAATTTAAGTCACACACTGAAAAACACAAATCTGCATGTTAATTTATAATTATGAAAATTTGATTTTCTAAATTGTAACAAGTGAACATACTTAAGCACTAAGCGAATACAAAATTATTGTCACGAGTTTTTTAAATTCTTGGAATCTCAAAAAAGCTCTTCTATGAGCTCCGCATTTGTAATGGAAAATAAATTACTAGTAATTAAAAAAAAAAAAACTATTGTATATAACTAAGCATATGCATGGTGCGTAAATTATTGCACAATTTCTGCGGCAGCATTGATCGAAACGCCTTTGAAGATTTGTTACGTTCCAAAATTATTTATTTCATCATAATTTCATTCATAAATAACTGCATTCATAAAGGAAAAAGATTACGCATGAATTACTGCACCGTTTATAGTATTATTTGTTCATTATTGCATTTATAAAATATGGTATACTGTTATTGTTCAATATTTGAAATTGTGATCTTTATTATTTATAATTTATGCGAAATTAGTTTACAACCACCTGATATTTTAATATTATTTGTTTTGCCAAAGTAACGGGTTGGGATTGAATTCCACTCACATATTATACTACCGTTATATGTCAAATGGCACGGCAATTTTTAATTATTCACAGTCTCTAGCACCATCATTTATTCGAAGATTGTGTTTAATTTAAAAGTAACGGTATCTAAAGTTAATTGTAATAATTTGCCAACCAAAAAATGGCATTAAACACATATATGTATGTATTGTATGCTAGTATTTATGAGCACCATAGATAAAAATGTATTTATGCAGAAAACCGAAGCTTGAAAAACCGAATACGGATGCAACAGAAAGTAAGAAAGTGTTAAACATAAAAGTAAAACGAAAAAAATAATAGAGTGAAAGCGAAGTGAACCTAAGAAATGAAAAATATACCAAAGAATGTTGCCTTCTAAAAAATTCGTTAATGAAATTTAACCACAACTAAATATGCCACTAGAAGAATGTTTTCCGTTTTCCTTATTCAAGTAATTGAAAGTGAGCGAAAATGTTGGAACACTGTAATAATTAACAATTACACGAAGCAATTAAAAATAAATAAACAATTTATAAATTAAAAAGGCGTACAGTCCATAAAAATTTGTTTACACAAATAGTTTAATTTATTTTATTTAGCTACGAATGTATAATAAAGCAAAATAAATACAATATTTTCGTCAAACAATAATATATTGTTTATCCTCTTACACAGCATACACACACACACACACACACACACATTACATATATTTAAATGTAATGAGTGCTTATATGGTATACGCCAATGGTTCTCTTCTGTGAATTTGAAACTGACGGAGGAAAAAACATACAAAACTCATAAGCACTAGGAAGATAGAAGAACGAATAGAGCCCACTATAGGGGAGTGCGAGATTTCCTCGCAGCCGCAACTGAAGTATCTGAGAGTAATATTGGATTCCAAATTAAAATTTAAAGAGCACCTGGGGTATTCTTCCGCGAAGGCAAACAAAATTTATAATGGCCTATCGAGAATGATGACCAATAGAGGCTGTGTGCGTTCCAGCCGGCGATTCTTAATAGCGAAAGCAATGAGTTCCGTGATACTGTATGCGGCACTGTTATGGATACAGGCAATGGACATAAAAGCGTATGCGAAACAAATAATTGCAGTGCATAGGCTTTCTGCAATTCGAGTAATAAGTGCTTTCCGGACTATATCAACCGACGCTGCTGAAGTATTAGCCAGCATGCCGGGAGACGAACTCGAGCGTTTATATCAGTTATCAACGTCTAAAACAGTATCGGCAAGGGCAGAGGAGAGAAATAAGAGCACTAAAATGTGGCAGGAGCGGTGGAACTCCTCATCCAAAGGGCGCTGGACTCACCGACTTATACCGGACATCCACTCGTGGATAGACAGACGACATGGGGACCTAGACTTTTATCTGACCCAAATACTTAGTGGACATGGGTGCTTTAGAAGCTACCTTTTCGATTTTCAAATACAAGGGAAAACCAAAAAGCCACGCTCGGTGGTAGTTTTAAGGTCGATAATTTAACGAAACTCATGTGTCATCGACTGATAAATGGAAAGCTGTCAGCGAAGCGTAAGCATCCATAATAACAAAACTGAGACTTTTTGAGCAAATTAGGAGTTCGTCAGTCCGCGCAATAGAGGAGACTTAAATGTCCTGTCCCTCCCACGAAGTAGTACTTAGCCGGTGGTTCCGTGATTCCGTGGGAGAGTCTTGAGTTGGGAGTAGGTTAGGTTTAGCGGATTAAAGTTCCGCACTCCGGCTTTCGATGCTTCCCCCTACTATAAAAAAAAAAAAAACATTACATATATACACATGTATCCAGCGGAAGTGTGGGCTAACGCGCTAAAGCAAAAAATGCATGCGAAACCAGTTAGATCCTTATTTCGGTTAAGTCCATTTAGAGTGGCCAGCGCTTTCCGTACGGTGCCTCACGAAGCTGTTGGGATTTCAGGTATAATGCCATCTGAAATAATTGCTTCGGTACACAGACTGGCGTCATTGAGAACCTGCTGCGCATTCAAAACAGTATCGGATGATGCAATCAATGTTATATCGGAAAGACTTCACATGGACATAGCAGCAGAGATTTACCTCCGGCAATGCCATGAAAGATGGAACACATCAACAAAGGGAAGGTGGACCCATACTCTGATACCCAATATGGATCATGGTGATGTAAACTAAAACCTTTCGCAGTTTTTACTTGGCTACGTCTACTTCAAAAGCTATTTGTATAAATTCGAGCATTTTGAATCTCTTTCCTGCATGCACTGCGAAAATCGTTCATAAACGGAATGTGTCCGCTTCCAAAAGGAAATCAAAAAACTTTCTGACAAACTAGGAAACCTATACGCTGCAAATGGCATATCCATAAAAACACACATATCACATACATATAAAGATACACACATTACATACATACATACACACATACATGCTCCAAATTGTCTGCACATATAGCGCTAACAAGTGTTAATCCTCCAGGTTGTTCAAAATCCAGTCAACATAGTAGGTGACGCGCGTGTAAATGCCTGGCCAAGAGGCCATACCACAAGGCTGCATACCGAACGATACAATGCCCACCACAAAGTGTGGGGAATTCATCAGACGGCCACGCATCGTCAACGGCGCCCCGGAATCGCCCTGACATGTGTCCTGCATCGGCTGTCCGCCCGCACACARCTGCAGCGTCTTATTCACTGGGATTTGTATGGTTTGGAATCTTTGCGCACACGCGTCCGTATCCCAAATTAGCAGTGAGATGGTCCTTTTCACAGCACTGTAGGTGCTCACTTCTGTGCGGCCCCAACCAGCCACATCGGCATATTCATTTACAAATGTCATTTGCCGTAAATCGTTGGAAAGTGGCAGACAGATGGGTTTTATGGTCTCCGAATAGTTAACATTGGCCGCCATGCGTATTAGTGCGATGTCATATAATTCCGATTGTGAATGTGGTATGTACTTATCATGGACGATAATACGTTCGATCTTTACTTCCACATATGGAGGCGCACAGTTTCTATTGCCATCGGCAGTTTCATAACAATCTGGATCTGTTCTGGTATCCCACTCACCGAGGCGTACGCTGTCAAGCTTCCACGTGGTCGGTATGCTCGGATTCCTAAGACAGTGAGCAGCGCTGAGGACATAGCGTTGATTGATGAGCACGCCGGCACAGTTCAGTGCTGTGGCATTGTATGCTAAACGGATATACAAAGGTTAGAGTCACTTATGTTCATAAAATTATCTGGGAACCTGTTCTCTAGTTTACTTGGTCTACTTGGTCTAAACCTCATAGCCTTAATAAAAATTATTTTGGATCCTCTGATTGAGGTTTTCCTTGCACACCTAATGTATTGAATTTAGTCGCTTTGGTGGAGTTTATATCTCATTAACTACAAGTATGTTGACTCAAAATGACCGACTCGAAGCAAAATGTAGTAATGAAAGTTAGTGAGTCTTTGGCCCATAAATTAATAAAATACCAAATTCGTCTACAATACATTTACAGTTTCTTCAAATAATTAAAGTTGAATTTTTATGCAATAAGTTTTAATATAAAGTGTTGCAACACCTGAAAGTATTTCCTCGGCTTTCACCGCACCTCGAACTTAGCGCTTCCTCACTGCTTTCATTTTCTTTCTGATCTAAAGTTAGTAAATATTCGAAAAGACCTTCTTATCTCTTTTCTAACTATAAAAATGGGATATTCATATATATAGAACTTACGTCTCTGGTACTTTATCAGCGCTGACCAAGGAAACTCATCCACTTGGGATTCTACGCCGCCGAAAATTCGCATATTGAAAGTGATTCCGCAAGTGCCTGGTGTTGGCAACATTTTACCTGATTCCTTATCTTTGTTTTCAGCATTTGGATTATCTCGACAGCAGACCTAAACAGAAGTAAACGRGGCTTTAGCTTTTTTTTTTCAATTCACATCAGATAGGATCTACTTACGCGTGTCCTATCCGGTCCCGAAGTGGCATTAACGTCAGATCCGCAGAAACTATTACGCAAATGATTAAAGATATCATTGTCGTCATTGGCTTGGGCAAGTAGATTATATAGACTTGGGCAGTCCGACAATGGTACGCAATGACCTGAAAATCCGAAAGGTGTATTGCAAACGCCATAACTCACCAGCACTAAAAGAAGATACATAATTATATTAGCGGAAGAAAACTCTATTTTTTAATAATATCAACTCACAAACACCTACAATACGCAAAACTCAACTTCAACATTCATAAGGGAATTTTAAAATCAGCCGTATTTGAGTATATTGGGACTATGTCAAGAGACTATGTCGTTTTTTTTTTTTTGGGATCCATTATACGACAACCCGAAATGCAAAAAAACGAATGTAAATCCTGGCAAAGCCAAATCAACGAGGAAACGTTATCGGCAACAACTAATAACATTGAAGCGAACGATTTCCGAAAAACTCCCGGGACTTGCGAATAGAAAAAATCAAGGGTTTTATATTATAACAACGTTCGGTCTCTTGTTGCAAGACCGAGTAAAAACAATTTGGAAATCAGCAACTGGGAAGGTTTGCCTCATTCAGCCTAAAACCTCATCCCTTATGACTACCAATAGTTCCGGTCTATGCCAAAAGCATCCTCTTAAATATGGTTCATAACAGAACAGAGCCTCAAAAATTGGCTTGACTCCTCTTTTGAGCGGGCGCCAAGACGATGGAAATTGCCAGGGAAAATGTCATAGCCTCAAATGGGCAATATTTTTTCTTAAGAGGTCGAAACCAGCTCATCGTCGCCTTCTTCRGGCTCCGTCCATTGACACGCCAAAGTGTGTCTCGACAACTTTTTAGAAGTTGTTATCAAATTCAATAAATTTTGAGCTTACTTTTGCATATATTCAAKATATATCATGAAAAATTTTCATTTATTTTTAGGTCGACTAAAATAAGGTACATTTGTATATATGTAAGTATACTGGTTGAGACAACGAATAATTTAAGGACGGTTCATCTTAAATCTGTATATTTATTTTATTGATCAACTTTGTACAWCATTTGCTGGTCAATCACGTACATACGAATATTTATTATTCAGCAAAAAACAGAAACAAATTGTAAATACCCAGGCAACTTGTTCATGCAATGAGAAACATTCATTGTGGGAAAAAATAAAAACCCCATTGTAATAAWGGTTGGTGTTCAATGCGAAAATGTCTCAGAATGTTTTTTAAGTGAGGGTGTCATATAAAAAGGTGTTAAAATATTTTTCTGCTAAGTATAATGTTTTACCAATACACTTCATTCGATACACTTCGATATTTATACTTATGTACATACATACACATATAACCGCAATAATAATCTTTGTCTAACACTCCATATTTTGGTGTGATTTTCTTGAGGTTTACGTAGACCCCGGATATGCGATGAATAGSTCACAATATCTTTATATTAAAATCAAGTAATAACATGTATCCAAAAAGAGGGCTTATACTCGTACTGTCAACATTTTGAGAAAAGCAGAGGATTTGAATAAAAAAAAAAACATTCAAAAGTTAATTATTGGTTTCTTAAATTATCTGAATTCTTGTTTTGAAATGTATCATTAAGCGAAGAAATGTTGGAATCGCTAAAATTATACCCATTTATTTACAATTCAGATTTGGGTGAATATTTAATGCGTTTGAATAATTTAATGTGAACACTGTTTTATTATTGATAAGCACTTCAGATTCTGTAATCTCGAAAAATGTTGAAAAGCACGAACACACAATTACACACAGACCGGGAATCTCCATTGGCAATGTGGTTTGACTGGATACCTACCAGTGTTTACGGCCAGTATGTAGACAGCGACGAAGAGCCACAACAATAGTTCAATTGCCCTAAGCATCATTGTTACCGAGAATTCACAAATAATGTATTAATTCTATTTTTGTATATAAAGAAAAAATAGAAAAAGAAAATAAAAATATCGTTTCGGGAAAATCAAATCCGCATGTCGATGTGTCAATGCGTCAACTTAATAACATTCGTTAATTTTTACGACACTCTAGCTGATACTAATCAAGTATTCAGAGACTAATTATCAACACGCCCGAATTAGCCTAAAGCACTGCCGCCGTCTCCTAACCAGCAGCAACGCAGCTCMAGCTCGAACTAAACAATAATAATTACTGGCAGCTTCAAAAGCTCACACTCTGTATTTTTGCACATAATCTCTATAAATAAACRTATATATGTATGCACATAACCTATACATACGTACTATATACATACATATGTATGTATGTAAATGCTGAGTAAGCGATAGCTAGGAAGCTTAATCAGATACTTTTAACATTTGAAGGCCCTTTGCTGCTCCTTGAAGGAGTTTTATAGCAATATTCAGCTTATATCGGATATGCTCAGCCAGCACCTCGGCTATATACTCATATGTATATATATATATATATATGTATGTACTGTATTTAGTATATTGTATACATGTTGAGGTATAGTGATAATTTTAAATTAATTTTGGAAGTTACTTATGTGTTTGTTGAAATTTTATCAGCAAGGGATTTCCCTTTGAACCCATATTAAAGAGGAAGTTTTGAACAGAACGAGTATATGTGGATAAAGATTTGAGCAGAAATAACGGTTTGCTTGCACAATCATTTTGATAACGTGTTTTATTTTACTATTGATATATAGTACGTATATACATATGTGAATACGCGCCTAGGAGTCACACATTTGTATGTATATACTTAATGATTAGTATGCATTACTAWAAATAAATTGAGTTAGCTAGGATTTCTAGGAAATTCTTTATAGACTCTGAAATCAAATAAAATTCTAACTAAAATTTTAGTTATTGAATTAAGCGGGGTTAAATAAACAGGTATGTGGTATCATCACCACGCCAACCCTTGATAAGTCTACTGGCTGTGGAAAACATATATAAAATTGTATATGTTATTATAATTATACCCTGCACAGGGTATATTAAGTGCAGTGAACGATCGGAATCTAGTGCTGGTATAGAAAACTTTTGCATTTGACAAGATATATTCACGAAATTTGGTACAAATTATTTTGTAAGGCACCAATGTAATCTCCGAAGAAATTGTTTAGATCGGATTACTATAGCATATAGCTTTAATATAAACTGAACACATAGTTACTAATAGAAATGCACCTGTGAAGGGTATATTAGCTTCGGTGCAGCCGAAGTTAACGTTTTTTCTTGTTATTATTATTATTTAATGAAAAGGATAATATAATTACACCTTAACAGTACAAAAAGTGTCAGCTTTAGCGGCTAAGGAATTATTAGAGTTATATTTGCGATTTCCACATAGACCTCCACTTTGGAAAATATTATGGAAGAGAATTTCTTCTTCATAATKTATGCCGGGTTTTCCAATAGAGATGATATGACTTCTAAGTGTCGATTCGGTCATTTTTAATATGTCGTGATGCGTATTTTTTTTGTTTTGTTTTGTTTTTCATTGCATTCAGTGTGTAGGGCGGCTGGGGAAACGTTGGGATGTCGGCCTTGGTTAGATAGTTGTTCACAAAAATGGCGGTGTGTTGTCGTAGTGCAACTTGCAATTGGCTGCGATGTCTTGTCAGATCCGATTGACCCTTCATTTGAGTCTCTTGAGGACGTAAAACTTGCAGTTGACGGTTTGTCCAGCAAGAATAAATTTATGGTGGACTATGCCTTTGGTGTCAAAAAAGACAATTAATATCGTTTTCACTTTGGATTTGCTCATTCTTCCGGTCTTCATCAGCGACCCCTTACCCGCCATCCAAAACGACCTGGTGCCACCGAAACACACCACTTCTTTCTAAAGCAACATCTGCGTAAGCATGTTTGATCTTATCAAACATCTCCGTCGCAAATTTACCGAGTTTCACACAGAATTTAATGGCATACCTCTGTTTCCAGGTGCTCGCAGAGAACTTACCAGCCGCTTCATTTGCTACTAATGCCTTATACCGAATCCTGTTGGTGCGCGCATGCTCCGTCCTGTACAGTCGCGTCGGAAAAAAATCAGTCCTATCACTTTCCGGGGAAACCCTGTACATTTTCTTTGCATATAAGACACTCGAAGTAATGAAAATATTGCTGCCGTTCAAACAAATATTGCTGAAGACCTCAATTTGTCGATTCCAAGAAGTTCTCAAGAATTGTGGCTGCCTTAAATCACAACTTAGGAGAAAGGATTTGGCGTCACTCAAGAACTGTCGCCAGAAACGGAAATTGAAAATGATAATTATTAAAAAAACAAAAAAATCATCTTCTTAGAATAGGCTCACTTTCATCTGAGTGGTGCTGTAAATAAACAAAACTGTCGAATCTGGTGCGAAAAAAATCCACAAATTATTCGTGAACAACCATTACAATTCACCTAATTTGACAGTTTGGTGTGGTTTTTGATCAATTGGAATCATCGGTCCATACATTTTTCGAAACGAAGCGGGTGACACCGTTATGGCTAATAGAGATCGGTATATAGATCGATGATAACTTTTTATGGTTGCAATTGGAAGAAGTTGATCATGACAAGATCTGGTTCCAACAAGGCGGGGCTCCGCGCCACAAAGCACGGGCAACAACCGAATTAATGCGAGAAAAGTTTGTGTAGTTGTAGTACAACACCATTAGACTACTTCTTGTGGGGTTATTTGAAGTCATTGGTCTTTGGCAAACTTGCTTACAATTTTAGATGTTAATATTGAACACTGATATTCATGACATACGACTTGATTTAGTGGAAAAAATACTCGAAAATTCGGCTCATCAATGTTATCACTTTCCAAGTAAATTTTGTTATTGAAATTGCGGTAACAGTAACTGATTTCTGCCTATTTTTGTTCACATGAAGTTCGATATTTTGGTAGGCCTTTTGATCCCAATCCCAATAGGGGTTACCCGAGTTTTTTGCTTCAGATCATTGTAAAAAAAAAAAATAAAACTACTAGTTCATCACCACTTGTACTACATATTGAATGGAGGTCTATATTATTGTAATCCACGAGGCCTCCTTGCTGGTATGCGAAATAAAAGTCTTCATGAACTCCAAACTAATCACATATTTTATTTTAAACTTGAAGTAATAGCAATAAAATGTCTACACAAGGTAAAATAATATTTTTTTAATAATTAAAAATATACAATTTATTTATTTGTTGTTAGGGCTCGATGGCACCTTTTATCCATTCCACGTAGTTACCCACACGCGCATAAACACCTGGCCAACCGTTATAACCACATGGTTTTGGACCAAAGGAAATAACGCCTGCCACAAAGTAAATAAAGCGATTATTTATTAACTCGGGCATCATCAATGGTCCACCAGAATCGCCCCGACACGAATCGATTCCACTCACGCCACCGGCGCACAATTGGTGCGTGCCATTGATTAAGCGATTCGACGACCTATAAATGATTTTACACTTATCCGTCTCCCAGATCCCCACACTAATAGCCAACTTGACTGGCGATGAGGCGGCTTTGGGTTTATTTGTGGCTCCCCAGCCAGCCACTTCCATTGTGCTGTTCACGAACATGCTGTTACACAACTCGGTAGACGCCGGTAAACAGATCGGACGTATGAAATCGGTATATGTCACACTTTGCTCCAGACGCAGTAAAGCTATGTCGTAGTACTGCTCATTTGAGCTGCTTATATAGTTGGGATGTGCTATTGCCTTTTCTATGCCCAACTCAGTGAATGGCGGTGCGCAAGACTTCTTGCCGTTAATGTCCACCTCACAATCGGGATTGGTCCTGATGTCCCATTCACCCAATCGAACACTATGCAAGACTGGTTCGTTGTTCGAATTGCTACGACTTATGCAATGCGCGGCCGTGAGCACATAACGGGAATTGATCAAACTGCCACCGCAAAGAAAGTCAAGTTCATTATTACCTGTTGTTAGAGACAACATAGGTTAGATTAAGTATTATGAAGTCGGTTAGTATTTAATACCACATACGTGTTCTATATCGAAGTAARGCCATCCATGGATAATCTAAAATACGTGTCTTATTACCGCCATATATAAAGTCTGTAATCGAACTTCCGCATTCACCAGCAAAGGGTAAAACATTTCCAGGGCTCTCTTGCGTCTCGGTCCTTACATGTGGAGTTGGCTCTTTCAAGTGTTTATCTGGACAACAAACCTGCGTCAAAGATAAAGTTCAGGGCGTCTAATATATTTGAAATTAATTCATTTGAAAAAAATTTAAATTCGTGTAGCTATTGCAATAGTAATTTTAGTCGTTGCCGTGTGTAGAGAGACATAATCTTTTCATCACGTAGAAACAGTTGTATCCCATAAATGGACTCTTCACAAAAACACTTCAGTAGCGCCCAATCCCAASCAATTACACAGGAAGGGTTGGAGTTTTCAAGAGATAAAAAATAAACCCGTTTACCAATAARAAGGGGATATTGACACACGTTCATTTGCCCACTCGTATGATCATTTGTCAAAGGTTACAAATTTCGGGATCCGGTTCCGGCTTCCACAAGGTTTTCTCATTCGGAGTTCACCGCTTAATGCTATCGGACAAATGGAGGGAAGAATGATTGGATAGGTTGGATTTTAAAGATGGAAATACGATCGGATATTTGACGTTGCCTATCTAGGGGTCACCGCTATCAGAACAAAAACGGAAGTGGTATAGACCAGATTGTTGTTCTTTTTCGAGTAGCGGTTATCTGTCTCCCTGTTTGGGAGAAAACTCAGTTAACTGTCAGGAAAGTCATTTAACGGTAGCACCAGCTGTTATTGGTATATCGACAATAAATCATGTTTTGTTGTCTGAATTCAGTGGTCGTCATCAGCGCCAATTAAGACAGGTCCACGAAAGTCGATTTTAGGTAGGGATTTGCCATACGAGAGGGTGTGCACTTTATGTAAAGATCCTATTTCGGATGAAACCAACCAAGGTGCCTACAAAGCAGCAACCTGAGGGTTGCTCTAAGTATTCGGAAGCTCACTCAGCGCTAGCTCAATTCCAATGTTACTCACCACAATTCTGTGCGAATTATCTTTGAAAGTGTTGTCATAGCCACATTGACTTTTTCGCAGTTTTTCCTCATTTTCGGCATTCAATGACCCGGAAATGATGTCGACAATAAATTGACACTCGATTAACTGCACACAGGTACCGTTGCCATTGAATGGTGAGACGCAGCGACCATAAGTAATCGCGGCTGTTGAAATACAAAATCGAATGGTCAATAACGAAAATATAAGCCGACAGCAGCGCCTAATTTGTGATAGACTTACAAATGTTGGACACAGTGTATAAAAACATAAGCAATGCAATCACAAATGCGCTGGTCAAATGCAACATTTTGCTAATTATTTAAACACCAATAACAGCTGCAATCAATTTAAATATTAAACGAGTTCTTTAACTGCCGCCAGTTGAGAACTTAAACACGTCTACGTCCAGTACCGATCACAGGCATTACTAAACTCTATCAATGACTTGAACGTAGCTGAGCTTGGAAAACAAGAAATAACCCAATAGCGCCTCTCTTTCGCTATCAACACGCGCTGATTTATTGATTTTGTCGAACCTCTCGTTGTATGCACCGTATGCTGTCTTGATGACGATAAGAAGCCGACTATAAGAGCAGTGTTCTCCGAGTTATCTAATGCCTCTTGACTAAGGTTTAYACTCACGGCGCTGAACTCTTCTAACTGCATCGTTAATCGATAGGGGAGGTGTTCAGAAATTATGGCAAAAATTATTTCCATTTAATTATGTCGTTTGAGTAGAGAGAATTCACCCGCAGCACCCAGTTTAACTCATGGAAGGAATAAGAAGGTTTCTAGTCTCTGGTCGACAAGCTCTTAGACTCAATACCTGTGCTTGACTTATTTATATATATTCATGCTGATGTTAATGAGTATTTTAAACGCCGGGTGCTACACTCGCGCGTTTTTTTTTATTTTTATTTTGACTGCTGAGCTAAGCATTAATCAGTCATCATTTCCATTACTTCGGAGAGAAATATGCATATATTACTAGCAAAATTGAAAAAAAAAAAAATGTGGCAGCTAAGGCGAAAGAATTCTGCCGCTACAACAACAACAAAAGTATTTTGCCACTGATTGCATTATTAGTGATGCATATATAGTATTTCGCCACTTCCTCGTTATTGCTTCGAATTCGAATTCTATGAGGCTTATTTTGTGCTTGAAATTAAAAATAAAACTTTTTTTTTTTTTGATGCCCACCTTTGGTGTTGTTCATTGGTTTTATTCCAAATATTTAATAGTACTAAGGATAGGCCGTTATTTTTATTATATTGTGGAATAATCATTATAGTTGTTTAGGATACTTTTAATGTATTTTGAATCTGTGCTGCTTGGGTTATCGATTATACAAATATTTACGAGTTGTCTGTCGTTAGTCACTACAAATAACTATGATTAACAATTCAATTTAAATATTTTTTTACGTAAAAAAAAATGTTGGTTTTGCAATCTAGGTGCTGGCTTTTCGCTTATCAAAAAATAAACAATCGAATTGCAGTTTCCAATTTCATACACATAAAATTAATTTACTTTCGCTGGTTTTAAATTTAAATTCGCTTGTTGTTGCCGTATGTGTAAACTGGTTGGAAAGCTTCACCATCATCTCCCTCGCCATCATCAGAATCTTCGCTATCGAAGGTGTTGTCTGGAATATCGTACAAACGGATCATGGGCTTGTTGGGATCCTTCATGATCAGATATTTGCCATCCTTCTGTTTCATTACAATATCGATAATGCACCGTAGAACACCCCAAGCATTATCCATGCTCAAATTAATTTGCGTGGCAAATTCATGTGGTTTAAATTGTTGGGTTCCCAATATGACATGTCGTGAGGGATCGCGTGGATTACTACGGGAAACATAACCTAGCTTCAATTGATCGGAACCGGCAAGCACAGCTTGTACAGTCCATTTGGCTAGTTTGCAGGCATTATTACGCAATTCGTTTGCCAACACAGCGCCGCGTTGGGTATCCAATTTCTGACGCCATTCAACTCCGTTCGCCAATTTTGAGTCCCATTCGTTTAATGCTTTGATCGATAAGAATTGAGGTTCTCCATTTGGTGATTGCAATACACCATCGTGCTCACAACGAGCAACTAAAACCTAAAGTGATTTAAGTAAATAATTAATTATGCGTTTTAAACGTAATATTATATATTTTCTATACTTACAATGTCACTGCCCAAGTTCCACTTCTTATAGCGGTAGCCAACACTGGCAACTTCAACATCTTCATCCTCAGTTATAAACGGATTGGCTTCTTGGAACTTATACTTAGGTTCCTTGTCGCCGGTTTTCAACACTTGTTGACTGAAGTTGTGGTTAATGAATGTTGCTTCGATTGCCAAATTTCGTGGTGAATTTGGAGAGCTATCGTCATCAGTTGGTGGTTCAACAGATGTTTCATTGACAGTCAACAAATCAAACTCAGTGTTGTCTCGCTTATCCATGAAGATTTTATCACCTAAAATTATAGAGAACATGGCAAAAAATMAGTACATATAAAGTAGAAATGCTGAAAATAAAACTCACCAAACTTCTCAATAACAATATCCCAAGAGTAATTTGATCGTGTGGAACACATAATGGTGGCCAAAATAGCATCGGTAGCAAAAACATTGCCCACAGTTTTGGAAAGTCGGCGAATAACGGGGTCATCGGTAGTTGTGACAGTATGAACAATGCGATCAATTTTCTGCAGCGGCTTCTCATTCTTCACATTGATGCGATCATAAGTTTTGTCATAGTATTCAAGAGTACCACACGTTATTATGTCCTCACCCTCCTTGATATTTGGCAGCGAAAGTTTCGTCAGACGTGGGAAGTCCATTTCTTCAATTGAGGTCCAGTCTGAACGGACAGCAACAGATGATTCACGAATCTTAGGTGGCACACCACGCGATCCGAATTTTTTACCCATACCACGGCGAGGATCACGGGCTTTGACATTTTTGCCACCCAAAGTAGTCATACCAGAATTCAATCCRCCACGTTGATTGCGACCACGGGCGGACCTGTAGCGTGTAACCAACCATTCGTTACAAACATACTTTATTATTAAAAAAATGTGGAAACATACCTGTTGTTGCGCATGTTCGAACGGAAGCGTCCACGTTGATGAGGTGGCTTCTGTACGCGAGCCGTATCGACGAGATGGAAAGTAGTCTCATCTTCCTCATGATAATAAGCATATTGATTGCCAGTRCCGAATGACGAGGCATACTTATCTGTAAGAGTTAATCAAAATAAAAAATTTAGTATAAAAATGGTTTTTCAYTGGTTGTGATTTGCAATAATTTGCAATATGAGCTCAGTAAAAAAAATACGGATATTTTAAAGTTTTACAAAAATGTTAACAAAAATTTGACGAAGTTACCGCAAGTATGTCTCATATCGTAGAGCAATACGACTGTATAAGTAARACCATTTTAATATAATACTATTTTCAATTTATTTTCTTTTAATTCCTACCTAACAAAATTTCGAAATATTGTACAAACGAAATTGTTGCTCGTCTCGGTATATTTTGTTATAAATGAAATGTAAACAAAACAATAACAATTTTTTTCTTTTTGCTATTTTACAGAATTGCAATCAAAATACCTGCAAATTTGACATTTCTCTTTCAAGGGAAATTTCATGCTTGCAAAGGTGAATATGGCTGCCACGATTCACCAGCCAGACAACCACATAACCTCACACTTTAACGAACCAATCCCTGTCCCACAATTTATACAACACTTTAATACAAAACTTACTTTGGTATTTCTTGTCGTTATTAGAGCTGCTGGTCCAGTCACAAATCTTCCCTAAGCGATCGCTTTTGCTGAACGGTTGGTAWGGCATATCGCGAAAAGTCTCCGGCAATTCACATGGACCCCAGCCATTTTCATTAAATTGCACAGTTGGCTTTTCGAAGTGCGGAAACTGTTGACTAGTATTTATAGTCTCGCCCATTGTTGCTGTTTTCACTTAATTTCACGAAATAAAYCAACTATTTCTATTAATTTTAGCACTTTTTCTTGCTACACCGTTCAGTTAATGACAAACGAAATGAAAGAAAGAAAAGAGCACGTCAATACGCCGAACAGAAAACCTACCAAACAGAGCTACCATATCACCTGCCTATAAAGAAAATTTTATTAGGGTGGCCAGTCGGTAACAATTTTAGATGTGAACGCTAGGGAAGTGGTTATCAAAAAAGTTTTGTCCTATCACGATAACACAAATATTTAATGTYTTCAATAAATATATGTATATTGTTTTTCAATTGAATTAAAATGGCGCCAAGTCAATAATTGTGAAAACTTCCTTGCCATGCTTGACAAATCAAAAAGTTTTAAAAACAGTTTTACAAGAAAGGAATCAATTTAGCAAGCGATTCGTCGCTGAAGGATTTATCTTAATATTTCCCAAAAAAGTAACGAAATAATCTATTTACAAAAGTTATGCACCTTTTAACTCTAGTCAGATATCTTGTATACAATTCGATTTAAGATTTCTTTATTTTCTTTCATACATATTCGAATATAAAATTTATTTTTATTAACATTGCGGTAAGCTAATATTAAATTTGTTGTTGTACTCGCGGCAAAATATTATCGGGAAATTGTATATGAAGTAACGTTGACGCCAACGGTCAAATTTCTGTAAATAAAAGTTATAATTATATTAATTTTTAAATAAATAAGTATTATTTTTAATATTTTACATCATCGAATGTTACTGATGGCACGAAAGATAAGTCCAGCGCGTCCGTCATTTCCCCATACTTTTTTAAGATATCTGGAGTGCTACGCGTAGATTTACACTCCTTCACCGCGCTCACATCAATAACCAAGTTTTTAGCACACTGGCATAGATAAAATATTTAAAAAAKTAKTTTMAAATTGCTTATATAATATAATACATATTTTGTATGTGAAAGSTAGAAGTAACTGAAATGGTTTTAACAGCACTTTAACAATAACCGTGGGTGATTTTTAAAAAGTATCTCAAAATGTTCAGATATATGAGATACATATGTATGTATGTACACACAATAATTTTCAACTAGTTTTTCCAACACTGCCAAAATAATACTACTACTCGATAAGTGAATATAAACTCTTATTTTGGCTCATGCAAATACTTGCCTCATCCAGACTTGTTGCATGACCCGTCAATAGACATCTTATCAATTTAATCTGCTCATTGACATCATTGTGCTCCACAATGCAGGCATGTAGTGCATTTAATTCACATTCACTGTGTCCATGTTGGCAATAAAGTGTTGTTATATTGGTAGTTGGGTCTGTCCAAGCCTGAAACAATTGAAAAAATCGTAAATTGTAGCTTAAAACAGATGCAGTCGGCATAGCTTCACAAGCAAATAGCTTTTACTTGAAAGCAAAAGATAAATGCAGCAACTAATGTAAACACATACGAACACATGCATGTGCATAATCGTCATACCGTGACTTTCCCATAT